TAGATTTAGAACAGTGGTTTGCAGAAGGACATAGTTCAGAGGCTGCAGAGTGGAAAAGCTGGGAAATGTTGGGAGACGAACAGCAGGAAGAAGCAGCACCAGGGGCGTGACAGCTGACAGACTCAGTGTCTTTGGAAAGCGTTCCTGAGCCCCCCTCTCCCAGGACTAGGATGGTATTGAGAGTAGTAGAACAGAAAGCTCACAGGCAGAAAACTCAAATTAGCCGGCGCAGGGATGACGTAGAATAGGAGAGATGGAAGGGGTTGGAATTTACTCGGAGCAACGCCATTATTTAATAGAGACTGCATTCCTTCGTCTCTCTCTGTGAATACTGAATAAATTACTTGGTAAGAACTATTCCTTTTTATCTGCTTTTTGGCTGCCACCGGGGGAGGGCTTCCCTGAAGCTGGACATGGGTGGTCACTGTGGTCTACCTCCCTTTAAGAAGAGGTGACTCCAACAAGCAGAGGTTTGGGCCGAGGGCAAAGAGCAAGAGATAGTTCTACCAACCCACCAAGGTCTACCTTGCTATAACTATTTTTTGTCTAAGAAATTTATATACTGTATTTCTCGCTCTATAAGACGCACTTTTTCCCTCCTAAAAAGTAAGGGGAAATGTGTGTGCGTCTTATGGAGCCAATGCAGGCTGCGCGGCTATCCCAGAAGCCAGAACAGTGAGAGGGAGCGCTGCGCCACGCTCCCTCTTGCTGTTCTAGCTTCTGGCTTAGCCGCGCAAAACCTCCACAGGGCACAGGGAGCCTTCATCCCGCTGCCCTGCGGAGGCTTCGCGCAACTATCCCTGGCTTTTGCGGGAGCATGCCACACGCTCTGTCCCTTCCCCCACCTCCCGCAAAAGCCAGGGATAGCCGTGCTCCCTTTAAAGAACCGCACGGAGGGAAAAGCCTGCAAGCGCCGCACACACGCTCCGCATGGCTCGTGAAAGGGAGCGCTGAGCAGAGCCTGGGATGCATATAGGCTCTGCTCAGCGCTCCTTTAAAGAATCTTTTTTCTTGCATTCCCCCTCCAAAAACTAGGTGCGTCTTATGGTCAGGTGCGTCTTATGGAGTGAGAAATATGGTGCTGCTTAATTATATACATTTCTAAACACTGTACATAAAACAATGGGACAATAAAGAAAAGAAAATACCCATAAAACTGAACTAGAGCAGAAGTGCCTCGTGACCCACCTGAGTGTGTTCGGAGGTGCCCCGTGAGTGCGTCTCTCCTCCGACAGGCATAGTTACAGAAGGGACATTTGAAGGGCTTCTCGCCCGAGTGCAGCTTGATGTGGCGCAGGAGGTTGCCCTTTTGGGTGAAGGAGGCACCGCACTGATTGCAATGGAACGGCCTCTCACCTAGGAAGAAGAAGAAGAGCGCATTGGGATGAGTATCCAGAAAGGTTAGCCTCGATCCTTGCTTTCACTGATGAACCATGACCCCCAGTTCAAACATGCTGATAAACTGAGTTTAAAGGAAGCAAACAGACTCGGGGTTGTATTCAGTGTAGTGTTAAATGGTGCAGGTGGCACTGTGGCCTAAACCATGGAGCCTCTTGGGCTTGCCGATCAGAAGGTTGGCGGTTTAAATCCCCGTGATGGGGTGAGCTCCCGTTGCTCGGTCCCAGCTCCTGCCAACCTAGCAGTTCAAAAGCACACCAGTGCAAGTAGAGAAAGAGGTACCACTGTGGCAGGAAGGTAAACAGCATTTCTATGCGCTCTGGTTTCCATCACAGTGTCCCGTTGCGCCAGAAGTGGTTTAGTCATGCTGGCCACATGACCCGGAAAGCTGTCTGTGGGCAAACGCTGGCTCCCTCGGCCTGAAAGTGAGATGAGCACCACAACCCCATATTCATCTTTTGACTGGGCTTAACTGTCGAGGGGTCCTTTACTTTTTTTTTAACCTAAGTGGACAGTTCCATTGGGGCAAGGATTTCTCATTGTGCAGCAGAACTATCTCCCCTCTGCTCCCCCACTTCCTAAATCCATTCTGGGGAATCCTCCAACTCTCTGGAAGAGGAGAGGGAGGAAGTCCCATTCTGCTAGTGCCAATCCTTGTGCTAGCACAATTATTTCATTTAACACTGTCCCCCTAAGTCCTCCATGGAGCTGTTTAGGAGCAAGCATGAGTGCTCCCAGCTCATGCATCTTGCAGAAAACCATGGTTTAGCATGACACGTGGATGTGTGAAGTACTCTGAATGCACCTGGATTGATCTAACACCCAGTCTTGTAAGGAAAGAGCTATAAAGCGGTTCAGAGCCTTATTAGGCTAAAGAGCCTGAGTGTGACACATAGAACCTTTTAGACCATTGAGACTTAAAGCACTATACAAGCGCAAAGCTCATGCATCAGCCCTTACGGTTACCAGCAGCCATGCCTGCTCACCGGTGTGGCTGCGCTTGTGCACCATCAGTACGTTGGGGCCAATGCACACCATCCCACAGATATCACATTTCAGCTTGCCGTTGGGTAGCCGGATGCCGCCAGGGGAATGTGGCTCCTGCCCTGTCCCGTCACAGTAGCCGAGTGGCTCAGAGAGAGAATCCTCCACAATCACGCTGTCCTCTTTTCAATGAGCCGGTCGTCATGCGACAGCAGCCGGCTTGATTCTTCATCACTGTACATTTCCACCTTGATAGAATTTGCTATGGAGGGAAAAGATGTAAAAACAAAACAAAAAAACAAAGCACGTACAGGTTTGTGACAAGTATTTGTAAACAGTTAACTTTTTTTAAAAAAAAAGTTGTTATGGTCCAGGAGAGTGAAAAGAGACTTCTAAAAAATAACCATCAATAATTATTAATAGATCCTACTAGCATCTAAGGCCAGGTGCTTGGGGAGCATGATAGGAATTTCTAAAATTATGTATGATGTGTGTGTGTGGGGGGGAGATTTATCCTTCTTTCCCACTATTTTAGATCACCCCTTGACACTGATCGGGAGCAAATTCAGCACAAACCAATGGAGTATTTATTCAGAAAGTGCATCATCAACTTATGGGATTCAGCGTTACAAGAGAGCCAGTGTGGTGTAACGGTTAGAGTGTGGAACTAGGACCTGGGAGAGCAGGGTTCGAATTCCCGCTCGGCCACGAAGCTCACTGAGTGACCTTGGACCAGTCACTATCTCTTACCCTAATTCACCTCACAGAGTTGTTGTCAGGATGAAATGGGGAAGAGGAGAACCATGTGCACCACCCTGAGCTTCTTGGAAGAGAAATGTGACATATAAACGTAATAAATAATATAAATAAGCCATTAGTTTAGAAGGAACTTTAAAAAGGGATTAGACAAATTCATGGAGGCCGGGGCTATAAATGAGCATT